GATCTTCTGAAAAATAGCGAAAACAGTGATTGGACTGCTGTCCACAGCAGGAAAACTCAGCAACTCTTCTAGAGGAAATTTGAAAGAAACTCAAGCAAGATTTGTATTCCACTAGATAATGAATAAATTAGCAAGATACACTTGATCCTCAATTCGAGAGGAGGATCGATCTCTCCCAAATCTCTGGCAATGCCAAGAGCCCAAAGAAAACCTAAATCTAAGAGATCTCAAATTTCATCCAAATTCAAGATACTCAAACCCTAGCAAAATCAACTATTTAATGCATACAAATCAAAAGGAAATCCCTAAACAATCCCTACATTCAATTTCCCTCGTAGAATCCATTCAAAAACCTTCCTAAAAGGAGATCTCAAGCCTCGCGTGCGTGCGGCTGACGGAAGAGGCGGAGAAATTCCGCCCGTTCTCCGCCTGGGCCGGTCCCGCGTGGACCGGCTGGACCGGTCCATTGGACCGGTCTAACAGTAACTTGCACTCACAAGGTAGGAACTAAAAAGAGATGTTATTCAAGCAAAAAAAAAAGTTAATTATATGCCTCAAATTGGTATTTACAGATTCACATAACCTAAGTTAAATAGGCAAGGTTGACAAAGGATCACTATTTATTAATTCCTTATAACCTAAATAGTAGATAAAGTTGACACAAGATTAACCACAATTTAAGGTTAAACCAAACCCAATGCATGTTAATTTAAAATTTCCAATGAAGCAGAACCACACAAATGTCATCACAAAGTCCTTAAATTTACTGTTTCACAAATCTATGCCTATTCATATACCAAACAAGAAATATCATTTAATTAACGAATAAAAGATTTAGTTTTCATCTTGTATGTACCTTCAACACTAACAGGCCAGAAAGGAGCTTTAGTTGGGGCATCTAGGCGCTGCAAAATGATTCTGTCTGCCCTCATAATTGAAATAGACAATCCTAGAAAAAGTAATCATAAAGCTTGGCTGAAATTAGTTACATGGTATATAGCACAAAAAAGCTTTATGCATGAATTACCTGCCATATCAAGGGATGTCATGAATGATCCAGTATAAACTCTGTCAATAGCTAGCCCATGCTCCAACTGCAGCTGTGGAACTGCTTTTCCAGCAGCAATCATGAGTTCCATGGCAGGAGTTGAACCTAAGCTGCGCATGCCACAATAGAAAATGAAACATTATTAAGCCAAATAATTGTCAGAAAGAGTATGCTACTTAAATGAAAGAGCTCATATGCAAATTTCAAAAGAAATAATCTTAGAATCTCAAGCACAAACTCAAATTTCCAGTAATTAGCAGGGGTTGACAACTACACAACCTCACAGTATCAAACAAAATAAAGCTGCATCCAAGGAGAAAATCTATCAAGAAACAGAAACAAATCTTAGAAAAATAGTAGCTTGAAACATGCGAATAATTTCACCTTATATTCAATGACTGTTTTTTAAGTACCCACATGATTTGGTAACTACCCACAGTTATTATAAATATTATGATAGTTGTAAAAATGTGTTATACTTACATTCCACGCTCTTATAAACTTTAGTGTTTAAATGTGAACAGTAAAAACCAACTAAAGAATAAATAATATTGTAAACATTTTTGGGCACAGAAATAGAGCGATGTTCTCGAAAGGCCAGTAATTCTTCGTAATCTTAAACTATTTCCAGCAAATGCAGAAGAAAAAGCCAATAGCTTCTTTGCAAAGTAAGACAGGACAAACAAAAAAGCTGCATGGTATCCATCGGAACATGGAGGTTCCTCAGACCAACAGTTGCGTAGTTTGTTAAAAATTCGTCAATTTAAACTTCTACTACCCCTTTTATTAGAATGATCAATCTCCTTGCATACCCATAATTTGAGAGAATGCTATCATGTCTTTACAATAGTGGTTTAAAAGATGCCCCACCTCTATAGTTAGAATCCTAGTTTGCCTAGAAAACTATAGTTTGCACGAGTCAAGAAGATAATCACCTTTAAAAAAGAAATAGAATCAGCAATTTTGATGGTTTTCATGTGAACCACCCGGTCACAAATTGGCACAGTCCAGTAACCAGGAATTCTAACAATACTTCGATACTCTTGATCATAGATCATACACAAGACTTCTTTAATAAAAAAATAAAATAATCATAAGTGAAAGTGCAATTACCCATTAATCATCAGGACCACTCTATTTCCCCTTGTAATTGGCACATACTTTGTTTCCTGTAAGTATTTAGAACAATAATATTTAACAGAAATAAGCTAACAATATAGTAACAAGTCAGAGTAATGAAACATTCTAAAAAAAAATGTATTTAAGGGCCGTTTTGTGATTTCAAAGACTGCAAGACAAAGTAAATCCTCAAATAAAAAATGCTATGGCAGGAATGTTTTGGCAGTTGGCACCAAACTTATGAAGAGAGAATTAGAAAGTAAATACATCAATCCAGGAACAATCATCGAAGAGTTAAAATGCATATGAATCTTTTACTTTGTATCAGCTATGTAGCCAATCAAAGCAGTCTCTTAACCAGAAACGTTATCCTTCAGGGATTTTTTATGCTTTGGGAATATGTTAAATGGGCTGTAAGGTGATTCTGTATATCTCCATATTTTCATCCAAAACAGATCAAAGATAATGGAATATATACAGCCTGTATTGCTATCAGTAGTATCCAACTGTAACAAAATAGAAACAATGGTTATGGGCTAGTGTTTCTTTATTGCAAAGGATGGGCTTTGGGGAGGTGTTTGTTTGCAGGATGCCAAATGTAGAGCAGTTGGATTCACTGATTTCTATTGCGCCAACAATATTTTGTTTCAGAAATGGATGGCTAAAGCTCTTTATTTAGTAAAGCAAACGCATCAAATAAACCGTTTACCATTATGTTGCAATCCAACTTCAAAATAAAAAAAAGATATTCAGAAAGCCATATAATGCACTACATTCAATTGTGACATAGCGTGAAAACCACTATGAACAGAGTAGTCCTGTGACTTTAGAGGCTTGAATTTGCCAAAAACATGCATGATATGACGCTGCAAAATCAGTAAGATAACACACCGTTGATAAGATCTGCTTCAGCACATGGGAGACCACTATATCAGCAGTCTGGAGATCAGCAACAGCAGCACCAGGCTCTCCATGCTAAACAACAAACATCGATATGAAAAAATAACTGAGGAAATCAAGACTCCTAATAGGCTGGTCAATATTATTTGAGTATTTGCAACCATCACAATGCAAAATGCTCATGAATATGGATTTATAAGTATAGAAAAAAAATTCAAAATAGTCCTCAAAATATACAAATTGATCTAAAAGAGTCACTCATGTTGTAATTGTGATATAAAGTTGATCCCAATTTAGTCCCTCAACTTTACAAAATTGACCCCAATTTAGTCACAAGGGGTCATTTTGGATCAATTTTGTATAATTGAGGGACTAAATTGGAGCAACGTTAAGATTAAAATGACCATATACGAATAGTCGGGGGACTATTTTAAAATTTAACCATATATATATATATATAGAAGATGAAAGGTTCTCCATGCATCCACTATATTTTTTTTCTACAATCCCTTTGGGCTTAGTAGTTTAATAATATTGATGAGTTTCAAACTTTGGATTTGTTTGGTATAGTGTTCTCATTATTTTGATTTTCAAACCCTTGCCATTCTTTCATTTGATTACCACTCTCTAGAAATTTCTATGATCGATGTTGCTTCTCACAACTAAATCTACTAATGTATAGTAAATGTAAGCAAGCTATTGTCCGATTCTTTTCCAAAAAAAATTATCATACCCACAACAACTTTTTAAAAAGTTGTTTTTCTTAAAAAGTTGTTTTTCCCACAGTAGTATTACAATTTTTTTTACAAAAAGTTAAGCCACCCAAAGAACCCTTAATGAGACATTATCTATAGCAAAATTCCACAAAACTAATTGCAACGCCTTATTTTACAAGGTTCTTTTTCTTAAGGGGTAATATCCCAAATATTTTTAGTAATGGAAGGTTGGGAATTAAGCCCATGCATGTAGCAAGAGAAAAACTTCATGCTACATATGCCAAATCTTGAACCTGAAATCTATACACTAGAAACCAGATTATGCACCACTTGTGCCAAGGCCCTTCAATACCATTCGGGCTCATAAAATATATTTTAGAAAATGATGATTTTATTTCCACTCACTTTTTGAAATTAAAATCATCATCTTTGATAGATTTAGAAGGCATTTGTAGAATTTAAATCAATATTTATTTCAAACTATATCAAATCAAATGATAGAATCTAATCAATTCATTATTTATCAAAATATGATTCCTGAATTCAAACAACCAAATAAGCTTCTAACCCTACCCCTAAATAAGCTTTTAGCCTCAAAGTCATCATTAGCTTAACTAAAATTTTGTATTTTCACACTGTAATCCAAGTTATCACATAAAACAAAAAAAAATAATCCAAAGAAAACCGTGAATACTATCATCTCAAGTGAACTTACAATTCCTAGTCCAAGCTCCATCAATCCTGGACCTAGCCGATCAGATGTGACATGGCCTGGTAATGTACAAACTGAAAATGCAACTCCCATTGTTCCCACTATTTCGGATGCATGCTTTGCTTCTGCAGTCACATCAGCTAGGGAAAGGCCAGCAGCAGCAGCAGCACCAGCAACCTAACATGAAAACGAAACATAAAAAAGTCAAGAAAATGATGAACGGAAAACAAGTAGAACACAAAACCAGATTCTACAATTGAATATTTACCTATCAAGACTAACATATTAAGATGCCACCAAGTCTCCAAGGTCCAAATTTTCCTCAAAGAAACAAAAAGTAGAATGAGTAAGAGAAAGAAAGGCATTTCTTCTACTAGAAGGAGAATGATTATGTTCTACCCTTTTTTTTTTGCATCAACCCTTATACATGGTCTTCAAACTCATGATCACATAAATTATTATTATATACAACTTGAAAATTGTTGATTTATATTAATTACAACAATAATTAAACCCTCATTGAACATGTGAAAAAAATAAAAATGGTCATAAGACATAGTAGCATTTTATAAATAAAATTTTACTCATGTATTTCACCATTCAAATCATCAAATATATGAAATGCATCATTAACAACGCATGTATTTAAGTCCAATCCATTAAAATTATCTTATTTTAAAATCATAATTATTTTTTTCCTACAATCTAAATCATCTATTGAGAAAATTTTGATGAATCCAATTGGCGATCAAACAATTTTTAGAAATTTTCAAAATCATGTATGCCATGAATTTTAATGATAATAGAAAGGCTAAACTATCTTGATCTAATATTTAAACGTCAAGACAACAAAATTAAAAATTGAAAATAATATTGCATTAAACGCAGGTGCTCTGTGCGGAGTCAGGACTTTGTGAGTACAAACCAGATCAAAAATAAATGACACTACCAATATTGCATTAAAAGATATGGTTTTATCATATGAAAATTCCAAACTGCCATGATTGCAAGTTTTTTGCAACTCTAGAGGTGCCTTAAAGCAATCTGACAAGTTAAGACCAAATATTTTGCACAAAAAATAATAAGAATTCAAACTCAACCTTATACCAATAGGTACTAGATGTGGAGAAAATCCAAATTTCTTTCTCAAAAAGGGAAGAACATCACCAAGCCATCTAGCTACTAATGGCTCGGATAGCCTTGACCATAACAACATCAACCTAAAATGGTTTACCTAAAATTGAGACAAAAGAGAAAAAAAAATTGATTGGTTGAATTAGTGAATTCAAAGATGAGGAAAAACCAACCCAAACAGTTGTAAAATTATGTTCGTAGAACAACCAAAAAGAGTAGTCCACTTAAGCACATTGCATTACCATCCTTATAGTATGTTCCTCAAGAAAAGAGTGTTGAATTAATCAAATAATAGGGAAAGCATAACGAGAATATGATGATAATCAATAAGCCCGAGATTATTACTCCAAAAAAAAATGAAGATTTTGTATGAATCTACGCACAAATTCCATCTAGGATGGCCACAAGTAAACTTACCAACAAGGGAAAGGGGAAATGGCGAAGTCAACTTAAAGATCTCAATGTCAAACAAAATGAGAATTGGTTTGGCTTGAACAACAGAAGGTTGATAATAATGAGTAGTTTTAAGCCCTTGTTGAAAAGAGTGGCGAAACGTGATTCTGAGAGAAGTTCATGCCCCTTACCTGCTAGCAATCTCATCAAATGATCAAGGAGCACAAAGCAATGAAGATCCCACATAAGGTGAATCCCTAATAACATTAATAGCAATAGGAGAACCATCACAATGCGGTGGAGTCAGAGTGAAATGGATGGAACGAACATCAAAGGATGAATTAGAACCAAAGGTAGCAAAGATGAATGACACCAAGCATTAAGTATAGCAAAACTTGATCAAAGGCGACCAGATCAAAGTAGCAATGGTGCCACCCTAAGATTTGAGACCATATATGGCATATGTGCTTAATTCAATTCGACAATGCCCCTCAGTGAAGTCTCTTTTAGTTTTCTAGAGAACTGGATCAATGAGTGTCCTTGAACTTATGCAAGTAGAATTCAACGTTGCGCGCCTTTCACTATCTAACTGAAATGCTTCACCCCTTAAAATTAGAACAAGGTGGGAAAGATTCAACAGAATATTAAACGAAGAGCAATCAACCAAGAGTCATGCACACCATAATTATAATATCATTATTTAGAAGCCATAATCATCATCACTAGCCTTTTAACTTTATTTATCCGCAATCTTTATTTATTCTTGTTAATTATTATTTGAGGTGTTAATTCTCTTTTCTATAAGTTGTTTTGCATTTATATTCATGTTACATTTATCAAACTTATTTTTCTTCTTAATCCTTCCAAATTAATTTAATTTACTTATGTTATTAGTGCATCTTCAGCCCTCCATCAACGCATGCCCAAATCTCCTATGTTTAATATTCCTTAACTTACTTCAATAATAGATTTCTTAATCTATTATTGTTACTTTTGCCACAAATCCCTTAAAATTCTCAACTAAATCACACTGAAGTTGGCCATCAATGACTTCTTCCTCAGTTCACACTGGATCATGCTTTAAAATTATGCAATAAGAGGCGTGCCTCAGCGCAATTTCACCTGTTTGAGCCTCAAAGCTTGCGCCTTCTAACTAGAATATGAGGCGTACATCTCAATTTAACAGAGGAGGCGCGCCTCGTCTGTTTTCTACGAGGCGGAACACCTCTTAAAATTATTTAAAAAAAAAACCCTAAACCTAATATTTAGACGTTTGCTGCTTCGACTTCGCCGTCATTTTGAAGTCGTGCCCTGCTTCATTTCGAAGGCAATCGCTGCTTCGACATCGACTTCACCTCTTGCTTCGACTTCAACATTGACTTGGCTGCCTTGACTTCGATTTCGCCTCTTCGAAGTCGTCTTCTTCTTCGAAGTATCTACATCTATCACAACTCAAGAACAAATAAAAAAGGTATATAAATAACACAGTTTTCTTAGACTTTACTTTTATTAATGTATTACTCATCTTGATATTATTCAAAAATATTTAGGGAAGAGAAAGATAACTGATATTAAGAAAGGAGCTGATTGGGAGACATTGGACTCCATAGGAGAAGGAAGGGGAGAGAGCAGTTCATCATAACGATTATTCAAATGAAGACTCCCTTAGTGATGACAGTGCTGATGACTTCTGAGTTGTTATGTCATTGCTATTTATTTTTTGAATTACATGTAAATGAAAATGATATTGTGATTTGGGAAAGATAGAATTTTGAGTTGAACTATATTTGTTGTCATCTTATTATTGTGATGTTTAAATTTCACTTTAATTTCAAACAACTTATTACTTGACACTTTATATCTTGTGCTTTTTTATGTTTCTAGATCATTAAATTACTCATTAGTGTATAGAAAATTTATCATTTTATCTTTACACTTTATATCTTGGGAATGAGGCAGACTCCATGATTATGTCATGGTTGTGGAACTCAATGACTCCAGAAATTAGTGATACATTTATGTTCCTTTCGACGGCAAAGAACATATGGGATGCTGCTAGACAAACCTACTCCAAAGCTCGTGATGCGGCCCAAATCTTTGAAGTTAAAGTCAAAGTTGGAAGCACGAAGCAGGGGAGTAAGACTGTGACGGAGTATGCCACCATTCTACAAAATCTGTGGCAGGAACTTGATCACTATAGGTGCATAGAATGACTCACAAAAGAAAAACGCATCAATACCCGATTACACAATTTTAAAACTTGCACTGGATTCATATAACATAGCAAACTAAATTATAAGTTCACAAAATTTAATTTTAAATCTCCATAAATTTCTTTATTCATAATTGCATAAAGAAAAGGACCAAAATGGTCCATTAACTCTTTCTAAGGGACCAAAATGGTCCACTAACATCAAATTTTGTGATTAATGATGTTAAATCAAGAATTATTTTGATCATTTTTTAATTAAATTATTTATTAAATATAATTTTCAAGTAATAATATTTTTTTAATACAAGTTTATTAAATATTTCTTTAATAAAAAAGTTTATTAATAATTCTAGTTTTAATTTAGGATCTTTATAGACTATAATTATTATTAAATTTTTAAAAAAAGTACTAATCCTTAAGGTTGTTTTGAGTTTTTTTTAAAATAATGTTAAATATTTTTAAAAACAAAAAATAAAAAATACTTATAAAATGCTAATCAAACATCTTATGTCAAAATTATTAAAAAAAAAACACTTACAAAACACTAATCAAACATGTTATGTCAAAATTATAAAAATAAAAAAATAATAAAAACAAAAGATGATGTCTAACAAGCTCTTAATTTTTTATTCACAAATACTAAAAATATAAAAAATAAATGTGCATTATAGCAATAGCATACCATTCACATTGGCACTGTCCCTTTTTAAGGAGTTGAGAAACAAAATTGATTCCTCAAAAAAATTGAGAACCATTTTGGTCCCTCACAAAGAATCGAGAGACCATTTTGATCATTTTCTCTAATTGCATATATAGTCAAAGCCATGAAGAACATGATAAACAACATGAATAATAAGAGAGTATTAATACAATAAATGAGATAACATGAGAAAGAAGACAAAAAGCAGTGCATGAAAATAATGAATGGAAGTAGATGAAAAAAGGAATATCATATTTTATTACTTGCTTTGATGTAAAGATTAATCAAAAAATTAAACTTTACTAATAAAAAATGCAAAAAAGAAGTAAATTGAAGAAAATGGATTGAATTCATAATAGTTTTCACCAGTTTCAAACATGCATCATTTATGAATCAATAAGGTTGAAAAAATAGTACTCCATGGAGCGATATTTAAAAATGGCCTCCCTTAAAAGACACAAGACACTTAAATGGAACCTCAACTTCGATCACTAGAGGCCTTATAGACATAAGGAACTTAAATCTCCTGTAATTATAACTAAATATTTCAAAATGATTGACATAAAGGAACTGACTATTCAACATATCATTTTTGTAAAAATTTTACAAGGACTTGGATGCTCTCTCAAAGAGTATCACTTTCTCAAACTGATTGGCCAGCAGATTTAAGCAAAAGTTTATGTTTTTAGCAACTCCTATTAGCAGCTCAAGATCAGACCTTGAAGCAATTCTGCCCTTATTAGCATTAAACTAGAGAAGAGTGCAATGCTGCTGAAATAGGATAAAAGAGGTAATGCTTACTAAACTTGTTTTACATCACTGTATCAGCAGCATTGTGAAACCATTGGGTCGTTCCGCAATTCCAAAGTACATTCATATATATAGTAAATGATTCTTAGACAAAAAACATATTCAGATCTCACCAGGTCATATTACAGAATTATGATCGACATCACAAGGGAAAAAACCTTTTCGATCATAAGTGGCAACCTAGACTTGCATAATAAAGAGTGCAGTTCAACATACCTTTTGGACAAGAATGGTTCCAGCTAAACCTCTCCGACCAGCAACACCTCGAGGTGGTGGTAAAGCACAATCATCACCAACAATAACCATCTGCACGATTAAATCATATGCTTGATGCATGAAAACTTTTGTGGGTTAATTCAGCATATTGCTCACCTCCACATTATAGCCTTCAGATTTTGCTTCCTCGGCTGCTAAACCAAAATTAAGTCTATCACCAGTGTAATTCTGTAATCATGAATAAAAAACCGCTCTTTTTGATGAAAACACAGTTGGAATTGAAAATTACAAATAAAATTCAAGATGTTATAATGATGAAGTGCAGCATGTCCTGGGATGATCAAGAAACCACAACCTATGCAAGAAAAATCATGATTTAAAGGGGGTGGCATCATCTTTTTTTAACAAAATAAGGAGCCATGAACTACAGATAGAATACTGAGCAACTTGGCCACCAAACTTCGGTAGAAATGTATAAAATTGGGACATTAATGCACAAACATGGGTTACATGCAATAATGTTACATTTATTGGAATCTGGGTATACCAAAGGCAAGTACCGTGACTATCAGAAGGCATCCCTTTGGACCAGTGACAGCTCGAATAGCCTAAATGTTTGAGCATGTTAGTTTAAGATTTAAGTTTCATCCAGTGTAGGATATGCAAGAAGTGGGCATACAGCTAATATGGCATCAACATGGGGAGAGGTGAAAACATCTCCACAGACAGCTGCTGTGAGCATGCCTTCACCAACATATCCAGCATTAGCAGGTTCATGGCCGCTACCCCCACCTGTACAAAGACAAAATTTAATAGAAGGAAAAAATAATAAGCAATTCATACACGGATGGGGATATCCAAACAAACTGTGACTGGATGATATATGCTAGTAATTCCTTCCTACATATCATGTTAACTGTAAGGCGAAACTGTAAAATCAAACTGCGACTTAAGAGCTGGGTAACAGACACTATTCCCGATGATGATAATTAAAAGCATTGGAAGCATTAATATCAAAAGACTTAAAACTGAACTCATTCCAAGGGCACTTACCACCCTAAGGCTACAAAGACTAGGCATGAAACGCTAAACAAATGCACAACTGTTTTATATGACACTGAGGAATCACATGGAGGAGGCTGCAAATGAATTTACTCTATAAGAAGGCAAAGGAATAAGGACATTAAATGCATTCTGACAGGTCAAAATCCTTGGTGACTAGATGTCAAATAAAATTAAATTTCATTGTAATGTAGCTTTTGTTAAATTAAATGGCTCAATGAGCATTAGGGGTCCTCCATCAACTCTTTTCGAGTTTGAAGAAGAGAGGGCAGCATGAGAATTTGAAGGCCCAAGGTTTTATGAGAGTAACAGGTGATAATAACTTAATTAGCATGACTTTGAGAGCATGAAAGTGTTAGTTTTGTGTGGAATCTGATTGTTTCGATCAATCGAGTTGTACCGTTGCCTTAGACTTCAATTTCATCAGTAGAGCCCATTCGGGTTTGTAGGGAGTCCTCCCCTGCTTGGGTTTCGGGACAACACTACAGCATTGTGTACCCTAGTGTTGCATAGTTTGCTCAGAAACAAGAAGAGAGTGGACCGCTGCAGTGCTCCAAACCCTGGCATTGCAGCGCAGTCAAGCATACTAGGATTGACAGTAAAGCGACATGGCGCTACGAGGTAGGCTAGACAGTTTTCTCTCTCATTTTTTCATGAAGGTTTGCATCACTTGGTGGTTTTTAGTAGGTTTCTTTCCTGGTTTCGGTTTTTTCATGTTAAATTTTGGTTTTCTTCCTTTTCGTTGCATTATCTCTTTCTTGTTTGTATTTGCCTATAAGTTTTACTTTCACAACAGAAGGAGATCTGGATGATGTGACACACAGTACTATGATATTCCTTTTGATGATTATTCTATGGAATTTTGGATTACAATCCAAAATTTAAAAAAAAAAAAATTTAAGAAGTCTACCATTCTTTTTACGTGCATAAACAAGCCACATTATATATTATCAATACTCATAGTAAGTACTTAGACTCTTATTAGGATTTAGAATTTCAAGAGAAATGAAAAGAATTAGAAAGAAATTAAAGTCTTTCTTTTGAATGATAGTTTCAAATGAGGAAAAAAAAAAGAGAGAGAAAATGTCTCTAAATGTGGACTTTTGTTTCTTTCACAAAATGAGCCAAAAATAGAGAGAAAAGAATTCATTAAGCATTTTTTTTAATAATACACAAACTAGTCTTATCTAAATAAAAGCATTGATATATGCCTATATATGCCTAACAAACATTGGCGCTAGATTATTGTCATCCATCAAATTCAAATTGTCAAATTTGTGCCCCTCAAATACCCGTGCATGAGCAATTGGACAAGTAATGTTACTTCCAACTTATATACCATCAGATTGCTCTTGCTCCAAGGTTTATATTAACCTTAAGATCATTCTTGATAAAACAAATTCGATCAGCACCAATCTCATAATTCCGAGGAAAAATCTAGTTTTCCAATTATGATCATTTTCAACACTGATTTTAAAATCTCCGATACAAATTTGATGGATAAAATCAAATATCCCGTAACAGTAATTTTGAAATTTGAGGACTTTATTGATCCTCCCATCACTCCAAAGGGCATACGGTTCAACATGGATCTTGATGATAATCAGGATCGATTCACTATCCTTGAATTGATTAGTTGGTCCATCAAGAAACTCATTGATTAGGCGATTTAACAATCCGCCATACGCTCCGCCCAAAGTAGAAAAATGCCTTTCATCACAATGCTTCATTTTCATTGTCTCAAGGATGCTCTCTTGAGTTGTTTTCAATCATTTTTCCAGCCTTCAAGCCCACTTAATAACTTAGGCATTGACTTAAGAAAACATTCCCAGGGCATTTTCTTTCTTTTTTGGTTTTTTTTTTTTTTTGTTCCGTAGAAAGTGAGCCCATACTAGAGACAATATCTTTTCAAGAATCTTGACTGACCCAAGATTATCTCCATCATGCAACAAGAATCATAACCTATCATTATTTCTATGAAAATATTATAGCAAATTTCAAATCATATTTTTTCCTTTATTTTCTTTTATCTCTCAAATAAAAGTTAGATGAATAATTTTAATTTTCTCTTGGAACTCACAATCACCCAAAATATCCTTTTTGGCTCAAGGTTGTCTCTGGCATGCAATCAGAAATCCTAACCAATGATTGTTTCTAAGATTATATACGCCAAATTAATTATAATAGTTTTCTTTAACATTAACTTAAGAATTAGATGACTAAATTTCTTTTCCCTATTAAGACTCGCAATAAAAAAGAAAATTTATTATTTATTTACTTTTCTTTCTCTAGTTAAATCTTTTCTTTCCTTTCCTCAACTCTCAATCAATGTAACTCAACCAAAAGATGAGGAATGATAATTATTAACAGAATATGTATTTTAAAAAAATGGAAACTCCCAAAACAACTAGGGACGCAAATTTCAGCGCTACCATTCTCTTCCACAGAAAACCTAATGCTTGGATTCAGGTTGGGAAGGCTTCTCTCTGAAAAAGCAAAGCTTAACGTAAAAATGCATTGAGACATTAAAAACGAATTTCACATTGGGTCAACTAACTGGAGCAATTCATCAATCTGAATTTCATTTATGAGCTCATCCCTTGAGTTTTTTAAGACTTTCGTGCGTCTGATTTTACAGGCACAATGTTATTCGAATTTGTAAAAGACATATCTCAGCCATCCAAATGAGAATGGATGGCGGTGATCGGTGGTAATTGGAGAGCATCCAAATCCATGGATATGCCATCACATATGTATAAACTATGGAGTATAACATGAGGCATAACTCGAGATGACGAACACCATCAAGAAAACATCAAGAAAGGGTCATTAAAAAATAACTATGAAAACATCCATACCAGAGATAACTGCAACCTTGTCATATGTGGACCCTACGACATCAGCACGCAAAACAACCTTAATCTGCAATGCAGAACACCACAGACTCTTTACGGCTCTATGCTTAAATATCAAGCGAAGGAGAAAGCTGTTAAGAAACAAAGAAGATAATAACATTTGGGAAGCCATCCAAGTACTGTAGGAGAGGATATGTCTCCACCATGCCCTCAATGTACTCGGTCACGACATCTGCATTTCCAATATCAAAATTCGAACGAAATTAGATCGCCAAAATCGGCAAGTTAATCAAAAATTCACAATCCGTCGTTGCATTCAAAGAAACACATGCATTCGACAAACATATTACAACTGACGAATCCATTAAAAAATCAAAACAGTATCGGAAAATCAGTGGAAATTAGGAAATTCAGATTTTCCAGAAGGACCTCCGCGAGTAAAAACAAGAATAGCGATACACGCCGAGCCAGCGCGTGCAAGAATGACAAGAAAACCAAAATAAGTACATGAAATGGCAAAAGGATCGGAGAAAACCCCTAGGATCGTTAATTAGCTTTTTCGCTTGGTACGACATCGTAGCACGAGCAACCTATTCCCGATAATCTCACTCAGATCAGGTGAAAACTCCGAGCATTACACGGAAAAGATCACAGCACCGAGAAGCTCTCTTCTCCGAGATAGAGTAAACCCTAGCACGGAGAGAGCGAGTGAGAGGAAGAGAACCAGAGTGACACCATGATGGACGAATGGAGGGAACGAAGCGAGGAGGAGTTTTAATTCTTCAGTTAATTGCTCCGCCAATGCCCTCGCCGTTCTATTTAAACCCCTTTGGCATCCCTCATTTCGTTCTATATTTTCTCGCCAAGCCTTCAGGGCTGTTCCGGCCGATCTTCTCCGTCCGGGGGTTGCCCCTAAAGAGATGCGAAATTACGATAAGCGCCTCAAAGTTTTGCATAAGCAGCAGCAATTTGGGCCGGCCGGCACTGAAGCATCATGACTCACAAGTCACAAGTCGCAGTCGCAACCCTGTCAAAAAAGAAAATTGGCTAGTTCTTAGGGGCTTTCTTTGTAATTATGGCTAAATCGACGGGTAAATGGCCGCCCACAGTTTCTGCCTTCTAGAAAATAGCGGGATTAGAGTGGACTAAAGAAGCTAGATTTGATTTGATGCACACCCATGAACAGCAAGGCTATTTGTGCGGGGGATCGTGGGCGTCCATCACACAAAAATTTCAGCGGGGCCCGCATATGAATGGCACAGAGGAATTTAAAGGTAGGCGAGCTTTTGACAAGTTTGCTCCAGAGCCTTATCCTGTTTAACAGTTGTACCGATATATAAATTAGGGGTGGGACCAGTCACACTTTAAGGAATAATTATTACGTCTTCTGTCCGGACATAGAGCTACGTTCGGCCGACAATAATATGTCGTCACGTGCTCTTATTTTTTATCATGCGGCCCGACGACTTGACCCGGACCAGAACCCGGGAATGTTATGTTCGCGTATTGCGAGGTATTACTCAGTATTTGCTCGGTATTGGTAGGTATTGCTTGGCAATAACGAGAAATACCGTTCTGTGAAGACCAATACCGAGCAATACCGAGTTTTTCTAGAAAAACTCGGTACAACTCGGTATTGCTCGGTATTACTGGTATTTGCTCGATATTGCTCGGTATTGGTTATTGCCGAGCAAAATCGACCAATACCTAGCAATACCTAGCAAAATCGAGAAATACTGAGCCATCCTGGGTCCTTTCCGGGTCGAGTTGTCGGGGCGCGCGGTAAATAGTGAGAACGCGTGGCGCAATTCTACTGACGGCCGAACGTAGAGCTACGTCATGTGACCAGACCAAATAAAAGTTCTATTTTAAGGGGCTGTTTGATAGCACCAATATTTGATTTAAGTAAGATATTATAAATTCTTTAAATTTAGATATCAAAAATGCTGATGGGCTTGAACACTGTTTTGTAATTTTTATGATAAATTCTATTAAATCATATACGTCTGTTTGGCCATAGAGTGGATTTAACAAGCGGACTCTTCCTCTCGAGCAAATAAATTCATTAATCCGGCAGAAAACATGGTTTTAGAATTTTGAGATTTTGCACAAAAAGGTGAAAGTTTTCATCTACCATCGCTTTTATTTGCCATGAGATTTGGTTTTGCATTTTATACATTTTAGTTGGAATTCGCTCAAATCAGGCCTAAATCCTGCCACCAAACAACCCCTAAATGTAAATTTAAGGATTAAATTATATGTAATTTATTAGTCACAGAAAAAAAAAAAGACTAGGTTTTGTTTGGGAAGACTTTTTTGTTATTTCTTAAAATAACTTTTTAGTACAAAATTTTTTTAAGGCTAATCTTAGAATTCGCTCAGTGTGTCTACAATTTTTTATAAATATGAACTTAAAATGTTATGGAGAAAGTAATTTTTTAAAGATGTTATAGAAAGCTACTTCCTAGATCAAAACTTTTTCAAAAACAACAAAAATATAATAGTCAAATATTACATTGGTTGCTATTTGAAAAACATAATTGTAGGCAAACAATCACAAAAAAAAAAAAACCCTTAAAAAAAATTTGTCTTACTTTCACATCACATGAAAGAGCAAACATTTAATTATCATAACAATTGCAAATTAACAAAACTTGATCATCTGAGAGGCATCTTCTTAGCATATGCATTAAGCAAGCTAATAATAAATTATACAAAATAAGTAACATTGAATTAAAGACCATAGAATCTAAACATATTGATTTTATCAAAATATGTACTTAATAAGATTGATTTTTTATGATATATCAATCGCCTCATATTTTAGAAATCAAAATAAACGAGTCCGTAATCAAAGTAAATGAGTTCGAAAAAACACTAGGTCTTACAAATTTGAGGCATACATTTACTATTTAAGAAGAATTTCTTAGTAGAATCATTCTCTAGACATTAATGCACGCCTCTCATCATAATTGTGAAAGAAAATGAGTAAAAATACTTGTTCAACTCTTAAATATTTTTAGAAAAAGTAAGTAAGAAAATAAAAATAAAAATCTAAGTGGATAATCTACACATCATGGGGAGCATGCAAAAATTAATTGGCCAAATTTGGTGAATGTGCATATCATATCCTATAAATTTTGAAAATAATGTAATCAAGGAAAGAAATTGATTGAATAAAGTTGTGATTTTTTAATATTTTAACTATAAAATTATAATATTTTATCATGAAAACCTTCATGAGAAAGCTCATAATATGTGAAATATATATATATATATATATATATATATATATATATATACAATTGAAAATTTCAATCGATAATGTACAAAATGGACCCCTCAAATCAGTGTTTTTTTATTTTATTTTGTTGCTTGTTTGTTTGTTTGTTTTAATTTTTTTTTTCAAAAAAGATAATATATTAAATAAATAAGAAAAAGGTTACACATTCAAGGGAGAAACGAGAAAATGAGAAATACAATAAAGAGAGGACTCAGTAAACGGCCGTGGCTTCCAGTACCTCGAAACCTCGAACGGACTGTCCAGTAAGGTGAGAAAGCGACCCGCCCAGCAACTCAAAGAGATTCACCAAAGGTTGCCACGACAAGGTGACGAGGGTACGAGCCTCAGCCACATCATAGTCACATTCCAACGCGATGCTAAACTGAATGAAGCCATAGTAAAAAATAGGGAAAAAGAAAGCAATCAAGAAAAACAGATCATCTTCTTCTCCGGCCCCTCCCACGGAAGCGCCCACGAGTTGCAGCTGAGAAGACAGGCCTATCCCGCACCAGATTAAATTCGTTACTAGGATCAGATCCCCCAAAAAACTCAGGAGATGCACCACAATCCGAAAATTCAGATTCAGACGAAACATTGAGCCATTCCACATGGTTTCTAACATCAAAACCAGACTTAGCACCCAACTGATTAACCAAATTAATCGTATCGACCACGTTAACAGGAACATTAATGAAATTTTCAGAATCAACCGAATGCCCATTCAAAGACTCCACCTGCCCACAAACCTTATTACAATTTTCATTAACTACAGGAGATTCCGACGCCGGCAAACCCACACCCAAAACAGTGGACGGAACAATCACTTGCTCAAGTCCAGTTATAACAGTAGGCCATTCCTTCACCACATTATTATCAGTAGGAGCAGTTAATGATCCCGGAGAAACCCCATTCGCATTAACACATCCAGTCTCAGTACCCCCCTCAGCAATAACACCAACTTCAGAAATAACAGAGGACGACACACCCAAAACAAAAATAGTATCATAAACTACATCATTAACAGCAGTAACGCCATCCAGCCCCCCCTGAACCAAAGGGGCTTCTTTATTAGCCAACTCAAATTCACAAAGAGGGGTGGAAGAGGAAGTAATAGGGTTAACAGCGATCACAGGAGGATTAGAAACAGGGTCAGCTAGCGAGGGAGTCAAATTGACAGCAGGACGTGACTGAGGGAAAAGCTTGCTACATTCCGATTTTTTATGCCCCGCCGACTTACAGTGTATACAAAAATTTGGCATACCTTCAAAAATCACTTTTTGAACATAACCAAACCTCTCCGGGCCAAGCCAAACGGATTCAGGATACGATTTTGAGATGTCGAGCTCAACAAGAATGCGTGCGACAGAAGGACGAGAGCCGACAGCCGTAGCATTGTCAGTATGAATAGGGCGACCAAAGATCGATCCCAAACCCAAAAGAATACGGGGGGAGAAGAGATACGGACGCAAACCGGGAAAAGAAACCCACACAGGGACGACCGGCGATTCCTCCGAAAGATCAAGATGGGGTGACCATTTAATGATTTTCATGAAACATCCAAAAACAAAATAAGAACGATGAGCGAAAATCCTCCCATAGTCAAGATCATTCGAGAGTTTAATCAAAACATTGGCCTGATCCAACACAGTAACAGAAAACTCCCCGGAAAGTTTAAGATTGAAAAAGAATTTGCGGATTGAGTCTAAATCAGGCCGCTTAAGGGGAAACTTCCCAACCAAAGCAAATTCAAATGGTTTGGCAAGATGCAAAAACTCTTCTTCCGAAAACCACAAAGCCGGCATCCCACGAATCGTCGAAACCCTAAAATCAGGAAAATCATTCGAATCAGCGACACCAGATAAAACATCTTTGAAAGATTTTGAATGCTTACCCTCCAAAAATCCAAGGTCTAACCGTTTATTTGCCATGAAAAACACGCCGGAGACGCGTCGGAGAAGATGGCGAGCGGTGGCGGCTAGGGCTTCAAAAGGGGGGAAACCCTAGCAGAGGAAAAGGCGCACGAAAAAACATTAGTTTTTGACAAAAAACTAAGCATAAAATCAAAAATTGAAATTAAACCGAACTAACATCAATCCGTCATCACATCCAAATGAAACCTTATTATATAAATAGAATATAAACAGCGAGGGCCTCGTCTTCAATTCAAATCTATCTTAATAAGAACTATTTGATCTCTTTTTTGAAGGAAGATTAGAACTTCAGAAAAGATTATAGATTGCACACCTTTTGTTATATCAAATTCATTCAAAAAGGATATTTAACCTCTTTTTAGAATTAAGATTAGAGCCATGTAATTAGATTATGAGCCTTAAACACCTCTTCTCAATGCAAATTGCATCCAAACAAAGATTTCCACATATGCTAATGACATTTATGTCTATTGTAAAATGGTTTATGGTCTGTTTTGAACAAAAAATTGAACACAAGCATAGGAATATGTATAGGATTTTATAAATTCTTTAAATTTAGATATCGAAAATTTTGATGGGCCTGAACACTATTTTGTAATTTTCATGATAAATTCTATTAAATCCTATATGAATGTTTGGCTATAGAGCGGATTTAACAAGCAGACTCTTCCTCAGAAGCAAATGAATTCATAAATCCGACGGAAAACATGATTTTAGAAATATGGGATTTAGCACAAAAAGGCGAAATTTTTCGTCTACGGTGGCTTT